ATTTATTTATTTATTTATTTATTTTTAACACACTGCTACAAAGCCAAAGCAGTGTACTGCCCAATGTCCAGATTAACTATTGCAGTACCCAGCATCCAAATTTGGCTGCCAATGTACCAACTGTTAAGACAATCCACCTCCAATGTTTTGGCAATCCCTTTCTCCCTATCACAGTATCTTTTCTCTTTGGCTAAGAACCTAGCAAGCGAATAATAGACTAGTAATCTGACAGAAACCAAAAAATGGTGAGGGACACCATGAGATTTCACAAAACTTGGAGAGTTCCCATTAGTTTTCATAGTTAAGGGTCTTTGGGACCCCCAGTTCCAAAGAGTTCAGGGTTCTTTTTGCTTTTCAGCGGTCCTTTGCCTATTTACAAAAAATTTTCCGAACTTTTTTCCTCCATCCCAAGGATGGACTTTGCCAAAAAACTGTGCATCCTTTTCATTTTTTGTATGTATGAGATGCAGGCATGTGCATAATAATGGGAGCTCTGACTTGATTTATGTCAACCTACCTCAAGAGCTTGTCGCTGACTTATTGACATGTCTGCTGGGTTACGAATGATCTAGTAAGAAAATAAATATCTATGAGTCCACTCTAACTTGTATTTTTTTAAAATTATTTCTCCCTTGTGCATATGCTTCATACAACTCAGATGCCAATTCTGGTACAAACTTTAAATTATACAAATTTGTCACATCATACTCGATTCACATCATTGTTAACTGAAAATTATTTTAATGGAGATGTCACCTTCAAAATCGACTATATTTTAGCTGTTTCCTTCAGTCACTAGCTCCTGCCTGACAGGGTTAGCAACAAAAAGTGACAGCTTTGAGTTTGAACATTTTTATTTATTATCTGTCCATCTTTCAGTTTTGGACAGTGTGATAATTAATCATGAAGATACACACACGTTTTACAAATAAATTTGCACTTTAAAATTTATTCACTTACTGGGGCCTCATGAGGCTTAATGTTTGGAACAGATGTTGATGTGGAAGCTTCTGGTCCCGTTGAACGACTTGTAGAAAGATTAGGCCTGAGAAATTAACAAGAATCAATTTTTTAGAGCCAACGGGAAGTGAAAGAAATTTGAAAACAAACTCAAAATGAAAGCACAGCAATGTGAAGTAGTAAGTTATATCTTTAATATGAATCTACAGCTACTTTTATTGACTGATCAGGCAGAATATCTGCATCACAACAGTTTAGATTTTTACCAAACTAACCCTATATTTCCAGTGCCAGCTTGGCCTTGATTTAAAAGCATCTGGCGCTTTTGTTGAAGGTCTTGGAGAATCTGTCTATTCTGTGACTCTGTCATAATTAAACGAATAAAAACGAGTGCTTTCAAAACGGCTGAAGATCAATGTCTCTACTCGGATGGACTCTGATCTCACAATATATGCTAGATCTGACTCGATCACTATACTTCTAAATATCTACGCTGGTGAAATCAATATTTATGTACCGATTCGAAGGATATCATCGAGCCAATAATCACAGAGAGCATTTAAGTGTAAATAAATTATGGGAACCAAATTAGGCAAAACGCTGAAAACGCCCGGGATGTTTGAAAAGGAACAAAACGCATCTAGCCCGATCTCATTGAAACTGTTCGTCATCTCTTACAAGCATACCCACCTTGCCCTCCTTGGAGCGGAAACGCCATGCTAGCCTTGCACGTTTTCTCGGATAAGACTGTGTTTGTTTTGAAATGTAGAATTATCTTCACATGTTTACCGCTGCTTTCTTCGCCATCTTATTTTAATATTCGTCCCAGGCTCTCACTCCTTTCTGAGGAACCGCTGGTTTTACTTTTTTCTGTCACTTGCGACGTCACTTGCGTAATACGTTGAGTCACGTCGGTTCGTCAGCAGGGGTCACACCACATGTTTTGTCCACGAGACTGCACATTCTGTGCAACCCAAGATGTTTTCTTGGTGGTGTTTGCCTAGTGGCTTTGTATCCTACGGTTCCTTTCTTTCTTTCGTCAGCTGATGTTCATAATACGAATTCCTTCACCAAGTTTGCGCACTTTATAAACATGGAGAAAGAATTGTTCATTTTACTGGCACTTTCCTCAACTATTTATGCCGGTAAGTTGATACATTTCGCTTTTTAGTACATTTTATGTACATAGCCGGCCTGTGTACACGGACGAGTAGTGCTTACAGTATGGAATGCATATTTTAGCCAATACCGCTATTATGGACGGAAAACGCGATTACATGTACTTTGGGAGGGGGGAGAGGTGTGTGTGGGAAGGGGGTACGGATTGTGATGAATTCCACCAAGGACCTTTTGCATAAATCTTATAACTTAACACATTTTGAAATTCAGTTGGGGACATGCATTGGAAATTCCATACATCACCAGTCCCTCCCCCCCCTCCCCCCCTCTCCCCCCGCCACCTCCCTCAACAAGACCTCCTATGACACAAAGAAACAGGAATTTTGCTGATCTGGTATTTCACTGAGTTGTACAAGATAAGCTGATGAAACCCCTTTTTCTCAAAGAACTGCTACTCCAGCAAGCAGTGGTGATATCACGCCATGGAAGTCGGATGCTTCTAACAAAAGATCACAAGACATTTGAAGAAGGAATGGACAGTCAGCTGACCATCAGAGGAATGGACCAGATGTTCAGAGCTGGAACCTTTGTTCAAAGTCGTTATCAAAAAGTTAACTTCTTGACTGATGTATACTCTCCTCCGGATATTTATGTGAGGTCCAGTGACTATTCCAGAACACTTAACAGGTGAGAAAAAAACACTTGGATACATTTACGCCCTGGCTAATTTTCAATGGTTTATTGGGTGGCTGAAAGAGAAGGTGAGTAAAAGGGTCAAAAGAAGGCATGTTCATAAAAGTGTGATGACAGCTGTAAAGG